TATTATTGAATATCATCCCCAGCATGAGGAAGAACTATTACGGAAGATTATAAATAAGATAGAAAAATTCACAACTTTATGGAGAGTGCACATGCTTAACGCTCCAGCCAGAAAATAAAACAGCAGCCATTATTTCAGTTAAAAATTTAATTTCAAATTTAATTCTTATTTAATTAATATTATCATACACGTCATTCATCAAGTATATTTTACTCATCTGTTACAATTTTTGATTTATTATTTTCATTCCATTGTTGTTATCACTTTATTTAATTATTTCAGTTAAAAATTTAATTTCAAATTTAGTTCTTATTTTATTAATATTATCATATACATTATTCATCATTTTTTTACTCTTACATTTTAAATTAAAGCATATTTTATTCAACTATTTCAATTAGATTAATTCGTTTCATTTTTATCAATGTTATCAATGTCATTTAATGATTTATAATTAATAATTTAATTTAATATCATATAATATTGATTTTATTGATTTTATTGAATTTATTGAGTCATTTAATGACATTGATAACATTGTTAAAAATTTATTGATTTTATTGATTTATTGAATTTATTGATAACATTGTTAAAAATTTATTAATTTTATCGATTTATTGAATTTATTGATTTCATAATTTTGATTTCATAAAATTTAAAATTATTGATATTTGTTCAAAATTTATTGATTTCATAAAAGTGAAATTTATACTGAAAAGAAAATGAAATTGTTTTTAAGATGATAATTTTGGTGCTTCATCTTTAATTCCTTCATTTGTCATTTGTTTGTTGCATGCATTTAAAAATTGATCAACTTCCTCTAAAATTTCTTTCGGAATTTTTTTACGCATTACCAAATAATTCATAATATGCTTGTGTATTGCTAGATATTGCTTCCAACACTGCAACAAATTATTTCTATTATTAATAATTACATTAATTAATTACTGTGCTACATTGATGCATGTAGCAGTAATGCTAATATTAATTATTGCAGTTGATTACTATACTACATTGATATATGTAGTAATAATAACAATAAAATAAAATGATGCAATACATATTAAATAATGTACAGTGATAAAAATGATAAAATGTAAACACATTCATTCTGTTTAAGATCATTAATTATTACATTGATACATGTAGCAGTAATGCTAATATTAATTATTACATTGATACATGTAGCAATGATAATAATAATGAAATAAAATGAATGCAATATATGTTAAATAATGTTCAGTGATAAAAATGATAAAATATGATCGCATTCATTCTGTTTAAAACCATTGATTATTATTGCTAACATTTCACTTAATTTTTTCTTCATTAAAGAATAATTAATTGAACTAGAATTATAAGAAGATATAGCTTACGCATTTGACGTAGCGTTTCATATGATATATATAATATAACTGATGCTTTAGTAATTAATTATTTAAAAATTATTTATTTAAAAATATTGTTTATTATTTATTATATCTATATTATATTAAAATAATATTTATTATTTATTTATTTGTTATTTAAAATTATTTATTTAAAAATTATTTATTGAAATTATTTATTTAGTAATTAATTACTTAAACTTATCATAATGATAAAAGGCTAACATTAATAGCTTGTGATCGTTGTTTCCGTAAATCTAATAATAAATTAGTCATACTACAATTCTGTCCTTCACTAAGCATTTCAAGTACCAATTCAATGGCAACAAATGTAGCGGAACGACCAATTCCGGTTGTACAATGAACTGTAATTGGATGTCTGTAAAAAATGAAAAACATTGTATTAATTTTTAAATTATAATTCAAATTATGTTTATTTGAATATTTAGCTTCCGTTTTCATAAAGATAATTTAAAAATACAATTAGCTAATTAATATAACATTTCAAACTTTTATTTTAATCAATTCGAATTAATTAAATCTTTTAGTAATTTTTAAAATACAAAAAAAATTCTTAAATTATAATTATATAGAAATAGATGAATGGATAATGATTACTATAAAAATAATTTTAATTATAATTAGTAAGATTTTTGAATAGTAAATTATTATTTCGAAATATTAAATTGAAAAGAAGAGATTTAAATTGTAAAAGCAAATTTCCTATAATTGATAGAAATTGCTAATTGATAAATTTAATCGATAAAATTGATAAATGATGAAATTGATAATTTAATTGATAAAACTATAATTGATAAAAAAGATCACGTCAAAAAAATATTAACATATTTAAATTGTAAGAAAGAAATATGTATTTAAAATGTTAAAAAAAGGCGATAAAGTGATAAAATGATAAACTTATCTTTTTATCTCTTATAAGTGATAAAAAGATCATGTCAAAAAATATATATATACACATATAAATGATACATACGTACTTTGACCGTCGAATACTTTTGGCAATCTGTTGTATCACAACAAATGATGGTGGAGGCATTTGATCACTCCATTCAGGCCAATAAAAATGTGTACAACAATGAGGTCCTAATCGGGAAATAATACGAAGTTTACTTTTAATTACCGTATAATTTACATTATCTTCATATACTTCTATCTGTAATAGTGAATATTTGAAATTGTTTAATTATACTATAATCCATTTCATTTCTTATTGTTTATATTATGAAAATATGAATAAACAAATTAAATTAGAATTTAATTAAAATTTTTTAAATGAAAATTTGATTGCTGGTATTTACATTATTATCTTCATGTATTTTTTTATCTTAATTTTAAATATTTGAAATTATTTAATTACATTATAATTCATTTCATTTCTTACTGTTTATATTATAAAAGAATATAGGAATTAATTAATTTATTTTTTAAATTAATAATTTGTTTGACATAAATAAATAAATTTAAATTAAAATTGAAATAAAATTTTTCAATTGAAAATTTTTAATATATGTTAAATTTTGCTATAAATATTTTTAAACATTTTAAATCTAATTTACAGTATTTTATTTGAAAAGTTATTTAGAAATTTGAATTTATAATCGAAATTAAATTAACAATTAATTAATTATCGTAAAATAAATTAACTCATTAAATTAAATTAATAACTTTGTAATCGAAATTAAATTAATTTAAATTTGTAATCGAAATTAAATTAATAATCCATTAATTATCGTAAATTAAATTAACTAATTAAATTCAATTAATAACTTTGTAATCGAAATTAAATTAATTTAAATTTGTAATCAAAATTAAATTAATAATTCATTAATTATCGTAAATTAAATTAACTAATTAAGTTATACCAAACTAAATTAATAACTTTGTATTCGAAATTAAATTAATTTAAATTTGTAATCGAAATTAATTCTCATTCAATGAAATTTTTTTTAAAGTATAAGACAAAAGACGAAATGAACCTTTTTAATCTGTGAATTTCTCACTTCCGTGTCACCATATTCCGCACGTTGTCCCTCTTCACGTGGCCAATAATCGGCGCAAACTGACATATTATTTTCAACAAAATCACATAACATAACAATGTATTCACATTGTGTCTGACATATCATACGCCAAAAATCTTCAATTGTCGTTTCTAATGGTGCCTAAAATAATTTCATACATGAATTAGTCATTCCAAAATGTAAAATGTAAAATAAAACTAAAATTAAAATGGTACTTCCTTCTTCGTCAAATGTTGTGATAATTAATTAATTAATTAACTAACTAACAATGAGACATTCATTTGATAACTGCTAATTTTAGCTTCATTAATTTTAATTTAATTTTTCAATTAATTTAAAACAGAATTTATTTCAAACACATTTTACCTGTCCTAGAATTATTTATGAAATAATCTTTGTAAAATGCAAAAATAAAAATAAAACTAAATTGAAGTGAAACGTTCTTCTTCGTCACATATTACGATAATTTGTTAATTAATCAATTGTCAATGAGACATTCATTTAAATAATTGTTAATTTTAACTTCAATTATTTTATTTTTTAATTAATTTTAAACAAAATTTATTTCAAACGCATTTTATCTACCTTAGAATTACTTAATTTAATTTTTCAATTAAATTCAAACAGAATTTATTTCAAACACATTTTACCTGTCCTAAAATTATTTATGAAATAATCTTTGTAAAATGCAAACTAAAAATAAAACTAAATTGTAGTGAAACTTTCTTCTTCGTCATATACTACGATAATGAATTCATTCACTATCATTTGATAATTATTAATTTCAGAATTCATTAATTTCAATTTATTAATTTCAAACCGAATACATTTTACCTGAATTCGTTAATTTCAACTTTAATTTATTAATTTTACCTGTGTACAAATGAAACGTTTTTTATGCTTTCCAGAATGAATGAAATTTGCGTGAATATAATTTGCTCGTACGTCAACATTTTTAAGAATAACACGTGTTTTTTCAATACATCTAATATCCTAGAAGATTTAAAACAAAAAGATCTATTCATCCATTCAATTAAATTTATAATTAAAAAAAATAAAAAGACAATTAATTTGACATTGTCATTTAAACAGGTATTAAATGTTAAAACTAAAATTTCTTTAAAATTTAAAATTCTTTTTATTTTATAAAAATATCTGATGAGAAATTTTTTTTTTTACATTTTATAGCCCAACAAAATATTAATTAAATTAATGAAATTATTTAATTAAATTACTGAAATTATTTAATGAAATCACTGAAATTATTTAATTAAATTACTGAAATTAAAATACAATCCATTTTCATTTTATAAAAATATTCTAAAAGAATTTTTTTTATATTTCATAGCCTATTAATCAAATTGCTGGAACTATTTAATTAAACTACTGAAATTATTTAATTAAATTACTGAAATTAAAATACAATCCATTTTCATTTTGCAAAAATACCTATGAGAAATTCTTTTTACATTTTACAAAATATTGAAATTGATCAAATCATTGAAATCATCTCTTATATTTATTTAATTATTTATTTTTATTTATTTACTTTTACTTAATTATTTATTCAAAAAATTTTTTTCTTCCCTTTAAAATATAGAAAAATTATTAATTATTAATAATTAATAATAATAAATTAAATTAAACAAAAGCAATTATTAATAATAAATTAAATAAAAATAATTAAATTATTAATGCATCGTTGAATTACTCGTTTAAAATGAATTATTTCAAACAGGAAATGAATTTTAATTTTTTTACTCGATAACGATTCCTTTCATCTTCCGGTGAACCATAAACAATTTCCATACTTGGCGTTCGATTTATTCGCTCATAATCTTTTTTCATTCCACTAATTCCCTTCGCTAATACATTTCTTATCCATAATATTATCTACGATAATAAAACAAATATAAATATATATAGAATATAAACTTTCAAATTTTGTAATTTAAATAAAATTACTTAAAATAGAACTTTTAAATTCTTTGCAACCTGAATAAATTAACATTTAGAGTTTTAAATTTAGAATTTATCATTATTATTCAAGACTACGTGCATATACAAAAATATGTCGTGAAAAGGAAATTAAATTTAAAGCTAAAATTACTGAAATAGAACTTTTAAATTCTTTTCAACTTGAATAAAATTAATATTTAGAATTTATCATTTTTTTCAGGATGATAAATTCTAAATTTATCACCTCATCGATATGTTATGGTATGAAATTTCAAGCTGAATATTTCCATTTATGGATATGAAATTATAAATTAACCCAACCAATATTAGATATTATATGCATCGGCAACTATATCATACTATTTAAATGA